AGATTCGAAGATTTCACTGTCATCATTAACAGCTTTATTTCATGAGGTTACTGTTTAGGCCTGAGAGGGAGATCCTGGATGTCAGCGCACAGCAGTGGCAGGGGAAAAGTTTCTGCTGTAATTCAAAGAGACTTTACAATTTCATTGCTTTGTGATGCCTCACATTGCCCTGCCTGGCTACAACTTTAAATATATTTACTTGTCTGCTCCTCCAAGCTCATATTTACCAATAAGGCTGGAACCAAATTTTTGATGAGGAATATCAGCTTTCTTGTCTAGATTTTTTCTCAGCCTGAACTATTCTGGGTGGGACTAAACCTTCTGAAAGCTAGGGGAGTAACCACATCCTTGACTCGGACAATTATAAGAAACAGTTGAGCCTTGTCAAATGAATAGTTGAACTAATACCAGCCCCATTCCCAAACCAGGTCCATGCAACCACCCAAAGCAAAGGCACATGTGGTCAAAAGGATTTCTTTGCCTATTGCTTCACAAAGGGTTGTACATCTGCAAAGAAAAGCAGAGAAGAAAGAGGAAGCATCAGGAAGTAAAGCAGGAAATCCAAGATTCACAAAAGGCCTCGAAAGAGGGGGGTTTTGGGGCTGGGTACTGCTATTTAAAAGTATGAGCAAAAAATCCCCTCTACCATTATTTCACGCTTGTGGTGACTGAGGAAAAGAGATTTTATACATTCTTTGTAATGAAATAAATTACCTCAAGCAATGTCACCAATCTCTCTTCTAAATGCTTCAGGTGTAAGTGTGAAGCAGTTTCCAAATACAAATACAGTGCACCACTACTCTTGCTGAAGCGAGGGGTGGCGGTAGCAGGGCTTGTGGAAACAAGTATCAGACATAATGAAACAAGAAGTCAGAAATACCACAAAATTACTAAAATACAATCTCAGGAGAGGGTAATGACCCTCAAAGAAAGGAAAAATCCATGATGAGAAATTAAATTGGGAAACATCACGTTTTGTAACTTAGCTATTTGACATTTATATTTCATGCACAACTCTTAATCTTTATGAACAGATAACCACCAAAGTGCTAACACAATCACCAAAAACCAGAAGATTTTACATGAACTTTTGAACAGCTTGAAATATAAGAGCTATGATGGGCTGAAGCAGGGACTGAATGAACTAAAACCCCCTCTGTTTCAGAAATAAATCAAGTCGTCATGGATCAAGCTGAATGTCTTCTTCTGGGAAGCAAAGGAATGAAAACCGCCCAGTCTGATAATGGAAAAGTATAAAGTCAGTTAAAAAAACTTTTAAAAGAGAAGATATAGCTTGATTTTATAATCCAAGGAGAAAGTAACAGTAACTCTACTGCCTCTGGTAAGGTAAGCTTCTGGTCCAAATAAATAATTTGCGATAAAGGATACAACTAAGATAATTATCATGAGTAGGATTTCAGCCTGTCGGTAACTGGGAACTGTGAAATTCAAGGTTGTTAAAAGTATATTAAGTAACGAATGTCTGTAATGAAAAGTATTTGAACAAGAATATTAATATTTCTTAAAAGAGAAAAAAAAAAAAAAGAAAGAAAAGACATATCCCCAGACCATCTCCTTTGAATTTCTGCAGTGGGGCTGAACAAATTAAAATGCCAAGAATGTCAGTAAAATTGTTTTAGGTTGATGTGAAAATCGTCACTTGCCTACTGTAGTTAAAATGCCATCACATCCAATCAGTTAATGTTCTTTTCTTTTGTCTCCCCTCTCCTTTTTTTCAGTGTAAGCATTTTAGACTCTGTTGGGATGAAAACTGAAACTGAAATAAGGATCTAGTTCATGTGTTAGGATAAACTTCATTACAGTTTCCTGTGGGAAAGCGTGGTTAAAACACTGCTCCTAAAACAAATATGCAATACAGCTCAAAACAGAGACAGGAGTAAGGAAGTGTTTTGTAATGAATTATATTCCTCTATCACCTACAGCAATTACCTTCTGTTGCATTATGGCAGGTAGATTGACTGACCACAAAAGAGGAGAAGGAGAAAAGTACCATCCCTGAAAACATTTTAGGCCAGGCTGGATGTGGTTCTGAACATGATCTAAAGATGTTCTGCTCATTGCAGGGGAGTTTGACTTGATGAGCTTTGAAGCTCACTTCTAACCCAAACCAGTCTGTGATTCTATGATTCTATGAAAAGAATAAGAGGAAAATCACATAAAACCAGAGAAAGAAACAGGGATACAGTCAGCACAAGCACTTGCCCTTGAAAGAAGCTAAGAGTGAAGACTAAGTGTTTGTTTGATATGAAATGGACTTGGAATTGGCATGATGATGCCATCCTTGTGCCATGGGAAACAGGAGTTTGTTCACTTTCTGCAGACATCAGGTATCCAAAATACCTGATGCGGACATCAGTCATTAGCTTTACAACAGCTTTTAGAGGAGAGAAAGCTCATAATGGATCTTGGTTTTTTTTACAAGTTGAGGTGAAGTAGATCTGAAAGTGGCTAAAATAAAAATGGCCCAGAAATCAGACATGGAGGGGAAAACAGCCCTCTTTAGCTGGAGGTGATTTTCCCCTGCCAGTTGAGATTACCGGCACTTTCTTTGCCTTGCTTTTTGTTCTTGAAGCTTGAGGAGCCATGCATGATTTCCCACCCAGTCAAATAGTTCAGCCACCTCAGTAGCCAGAAGGCAAATCCAGAGTTAAGGTAGCTGGCATTGTCAACAAATGGGTCCTCAAAACACCCCTGATGCCCAAGATGCAAAACAATCAAAATAACTTTCCAAAAGTTAGCTTGAATTCTGCAGTAGTTTGGACCTTGTATGGGTCACAGGTAAGTAAACAAAATTGAAAACTTGAAATTTTCTGTTTCTTTTTCAGTCTCTTCTGTTTCTTCTTTGCACAGCTTTTTCAGTGGCTCCTGACATGATACTGCCTGATTACTTGTGGGAAGATCCATCCCGTCACTACTTTTGGTTATTTTACAAAAACAAGACAATTTGGGAACGTGGTTTATGGCTTTAAGCAGTCTTTTTTAAATCTAAGTCTGTGTGTATTATTATTGCATTGCTTAATGTACATTGTTTAAGTGTCTTTTTACAATATTTAGGTATAAAGAAAAGCAGAGATCAAATACTTTTGACTTTCTTATTCAGAGTTTCCTTCTTTGTTAGAGTATTACAAAAAGCATACAAAGGTGCATACTTTTTGGTATAATGATTCCTTTCTGGTTTTAGCTTTGTAATGATATAAGCAGTGCTAAACCTGTAGCTACTAGGCTTAGTAAACTCATTCTATGGACCCATTTTATGTCTCTCTCTCACAGAATTCCCTCCTTAGTGATGGAAGATTTACACTACCTAGTTTTAAATGATCATACTGTTATTCAGTAGGTAGCTCACAGGAAAACCTTTGTGTCAGTATGACCAGGAATGGGATTTGCTACTGTCTGATTCTTCATAATGTTGTATTTAACTTACAGACCTTTAGTTAAATTCAGATAGAATTTTTATTTCAGCGCAGCCTCTCTTTTCTCCAGCCATGCTGGATCGAGGTCTAATTCTAGGAAGTGAAGAGCACAAGGCCAAATCTCATTGAAATGACCATTATTTGGGCTTTTCAAGCACATCTAAATCTTTGTGGTACTCTCTCATCTCCATTGATGTCAAGAGACATTTTTAAAGCTTAAACTCTTCCTCAAAATAAAACCTGTGATGTGGAATCCCTTCAACTTTGCAAAAGTCAGCTTCCAGAACTGGAGTAGAAAAATGTATAGAAACACAATTTTATATGGATTGAACCAAAATGCAAGATCATTACCTCCTATCTGAATTTGTAGGTTTCAGTTTAGGACTAGTGAAAATAACAAGCATTGGAAAAGAAAGGAAAATAGAGCAGCCACCTTAAACCACTGTCACTACAGTTTTTGTATGCCTAATGGGACTGTTATTTTGACCTCCAAATAGTTGGAACATAATTAATCTAGAATTAGGACTTCCTGTTAAGAACTTAGCTAAGCAAAAGTACTTGATAAGAAGTCTCATCCCCAGTGTAGAATTTTCCTATATCACAAGTTCAGTCCACACCACAAATTCAGCTTCCACGTCCTATTTGGGTCCTATTTTAGAAGAAGATTCATCAGACGGTTAAGAGGTATATATATTGCTAAAACCTGGTCAATGCAAATGCAACTCTACCAACATTCATTTGTTGAATGACAAGGTAAGGTGTCTTGTGTTTTTAATTAAACAATTTCAAGAATAATCTAGTAATGTGTAGCTCTATTGAAATGCTTGAAGTAGCTTACAGTTTTACTTTTCTTGGACAGTGTAACTGACACCTATACCTTCTAGAGGCTAAAGGGGGGCTACAAGAATGCTGGAAGAAGACTTGTGACAAGGGCCTGTAGGGACAGGACAAGGCAGGGACTGGCTTTAACCTGCTCGAGGGGAGGTTGAGATGAGATCTTAGGCAGGAACTCTTCCAGGCCAGGTTGGGGGGTCTTGGAGCAACCTGGTCTAGTGGAAGGTGTCCCTGCCCATGGCAAGGGGTTGGAACTGGATGAGCTTTAAGGTCATCTCTTCGAACACAAACCAGTCTGTGATTCTATGATACTGGCTGATCATAAACTAAATATATGTATGTTGAAAAATAAACCCGTTTTCTAACTCCTGTATTCCATAAAAATAGGAATGTAGGCTTTTATGAGGAACTGCTAAAACAGCCATGAAAATGATATATCCTCTCTGTGGACACAAAATTGGTAAGTGTAAAACATCCATATGCTCTAGGAGGACAGGGTCACTAACTCTGGAAAATTAGAATGAAAATACTAGTAATTAAAATAGTTCTGTTGCTTTTTTTTTTTTTTAGAAAAGAAAATGTGAAAGTCATTGACAAAATTATTACATCCAACTAATATACATTGGAATGTGCCCTAGTTTACCTCACATATCTTTTACCACAGATAATAATTCTACAATAGCTAAAGTAAGTGATGTGACTGTCAGTTATACAGTGCATAAAATCTGTCTGTCATAAAATCATAGCTGTTAGGTTTTTAGTAGTGTTTTGAAGACTCTCAGTCACTTCCAGCCCCCATAGAGGATTCCTCCATCCCCATCAGTGTCCTCTCCTTCTTCGCTGGTTCCTGTCTGGGGGCTTCAGGAGACTCTCTCGATACTTCACGTTTGTGTGGAACAGTCGGACCATCTCATGGTCTTTGTTATCCAATACTCTGGGCAGAAAGAGAGAGGACTTCTGTGTTCTGCGAGTTTTAAAGCCCCTTCTAGGTCGTCCTTTCCCATTGATCGAGACATACCAGAGTCTCTCTGCACCAGCTTTGCGCTTAGTGCCTTCTCTGTTAGGTACAGTTTGGTAGAGACGGGATGCATAAGTGTTGTAACCCAATTCATGGATTCTCTCCACAAACTCACACTCCGCATTATAATATTCCTGTAAAAAAAACATGACAAAGAAAGACCATGAGTAACAGATCTCTTCTACCTCCAGAAGATTGGACTAAAATCTTAAGCAAGACTCAGTTTTAGGATAAGGACTACAGTATGTGTCATAAGAAAAACTGAGACTTCTTGTGCTACGAAAGGTAAGCATTCTGCACTGAGACCAATTTGCAACAAGGCACTCCCTGTCAGCACTGCGAGAATACTCAGGATCACAGACAGAAAGAGACCAAAAAACAATGTGAAAACAAAAAATGTTGTGTCAACAGGAATCAATACTCTGCTGATTGATTGTGTTGCTGTAAATGTGTTGGTTTTGTTCTTACTGACCTAAATATGCCTGTGAACCTGATGGACAATTGCAGTGCTGCCTATCAACCTTTGCCATCTATTAAAAAGGCAAAATCCTACAGTTTATTGTAAAATCTGGCTCTTCAATTGTCTATTATTAATTAGATACACCTGTAGTCTGTTACACCCAGTTTGTTATGGATATTTGAGCAGTAAAAACCCAACTTTATGAGGCTTCTTTGTTTGCTTAAGCATGACAAAATGAAATCACACCCTGCCCACCAGTGTGTTCCTCCAAAATGCTAGGGTGCTCCTTTACCACAAACCCTGAGGGAGAATATGCACCCATCCTGGGTGCTCACATTTTACATGAGCTGTCAAAATCTCTCCCTTTTCATCTCAGCTGAGAGAAAACTGTGCAAAAGCCTGGCATGAGGACTCCTTCCTCCTCCCTGAGAGCAGTAGGAACAGAACAAGTAAAGGACCTCCCACACTGTACATGTTTTCTTAACTAAAATCATCTTTGCTGTACCTGTATGATGAGGATTTCAGTATCTAGCATGTAAGGCCCTGAGGCAGAAGGGAACTGGTACCCTGGTCTTCACTGAGCTTTTCTTATTTCACATCTCCTCTGTGGAGGACATGGGAAGGGCACAGGTAGCCAAGCTGGGGCTTGAAAAGCCATAGGCTCCACTAACAACATGTTTTTAGTGCTATTCAGTCACCAGAATGCTGATAGGCATTTAATAAGGTTTTAAAAGACTCCACATGTCTCAGCTTCACAGCTGTAAAACGGAAGTGCCCTTCCTCACAAGGACAAGGGTTTCAGATGCTGCGGTGCTGGAGCACACACAACTACCAGATGTAGGTAGATTTGTTCTGCTGTCTGCCTCAGTTCTGGTTGTCGAGGGTTTACCACAGAAGATAAACCTAGAGGATTATCACAAATATGCTAAGGATGCAAACGAATTCTGCAGGCTCAACAAATTCATTTTATAGACATGGGAAAATTAGTGAGCCAAGGAATAGCAGAGTTATTCCAATATTATTTTTCTAGGGAAAAAGAAAAAAAAAGTTGGAGAGAAATAGGTTTTCCTGGATTATCCCTGCAGCTCTGAAACACAAATCTGAAACAGTGTCTCACAGACCTGAGCTGGAACAGCAGAAATTATCTTTCTTTTAGTTGTTCGGAAACCTTTTGTGGCTGATATTCTTTGGCACGTGACAGCTGAACAAACTTCAGGATGGCCTGATGCTCCTCACACTAGAAAGGGAAGTCTAGGAGATGAGGGTTCTCTGGGCTATACTGCTCTAGGCGAGCAGATTTTTATTAAGAATTTTTATTATTGTTTTACTTAAGTTTAATTCATTTGGAGGAAAACAAGAAGAAAGAAAGATGAGAAAGAACTTGAAAATTCATCCTTCCCGTTAATTTCTGTGGGGCAACACTGGCTCTCAGCTAATGGAGCAACCTCTGTCAAAAAAAGATGCCCACTTTAATCAGAATACTAACTGGAAGCATAGAAGTGGCCAGCTTTAGCTCTGGCACAGCAGAGCTAGTATGTTCTCATGCCACTTCGGCTGCATTTTCCTTTGCAGGAATTGTTTGTGATCTGCTTTAATCAGTGTGCACCCCATGAAACACATTACAGAAGCTGGGTCATAAACACTATCTGATCATTCTTAAAAAGGTGGAGTAAAATACATTAAATGAGGAATGAATACATTAAGTGAGGAAACTGAGTTGATTGTGTTACCAAGGTGGCATTCATGTGGAAAAAGGTGGCATTGCTTGAGGACATATTATGCTGTTCAAGTTGACAGAATCTTATCTAAGGACTAGTTGGAGGAAGCAAATTCTACATAGCCATATTTACCCTCTTCAAATCTGTTTCCGTACCATGGGATTCCTGGAGAAACTGCACAGTATGGCTGTTAGACAGTAGGAGATCACAAGATTGCTAGGGATGTAATCAAAGACAATTTAAGAAATTTAGGGAGGTAGGCATGTGTGTAGTATACACACTGACAAATACGCCTTTATATATTCCTGAATGCAAGGAAATCTAAGCTGAAGTGTTTTGTTCACTGGGGTGAAATATTGGCTGGGCTGAAAAGGCAAGACTCCCACTAATATCAACAAAGCTTAGATTTTACCTCAAAGACCAGGACAAAAAATTAGATCAAAGGAGTAAAATAAAGTGTTTATTTTCACCTTTATCTTCTTGTACCTTCTCGCACTTTTTTCCTTGCTACAGCCCTGCCTTTTAGTACCTGTAAATTCCTTCACTGCCCAGCCAAATGCTCTGTGCAAAGAAACTCCTGTCAGTAAGCTGTTTTCTTATAAGAGATGCTTCATTTACTTACGGATATTTGTGATCCAACATGTATATCTTCTGCTAGTGCCCAAGACCCACATCAAATACAGGCAAAAAGAAAATAAGAACACAGCTTCCTTCCAGTTTAAAAAAATATATCAATTTGTTATCTGTATAATTCGAGACAGAAATCGGTTGTAACATTACTCTTTTCTCTCTAAATGGTTATTTATAAGAAATCACTGCTCCCCACTAGGCCCCTTCTTCCCATAGGAAGTGACAGGCAGACATCAATCTTAAGTACAACTTACTGATGCATAAAGTCTGCCCCTTTTGTTCATGGCCAGATATCTGCCAGAGAACAACCCCTTGATGGCAACGATTCCAACATCAACAGCAGTTATTTCAAAAATACCTAGAAACAGAAAAAGTCATGAGATATATTGTTGTTCCACCATCACGTGCAATTTCCTAAGATACATTTGAACATCTGCTTACCTGCAGAGCGTGATTTCACAGCTCTCACTACCTAACATCAAGATCACAGTGCAACCATGAGTTAAACCAGACTATTATTTGAAACTGTATAAACCAACAATGTGGGAATTGCTTGACAATAAAACCTGAGATATCTGATTGAGACTGAACTCTCTAAAAAATGAAAAAGATCTGACATTGAACTATAGGTTCACTTAATCCTATATGTATATAAAAAAGTTTAAATCTTCTTTAATTCTTACCAGCACAAGAGCTCTTGGCTTAATGAAACCAGTCACAAAGCTGCCTATTGCAGGACAAAGCCCTTGCTGAGGTCTCCAGGGGGTAAACCAAAGTAATTTGGCTGCATTTTTGAAGCCAGGTATATAATCATGAAAGAAACTTGTCATTTAAGAGGTCAACATAGCCCTCCAGACAAGGACATTATGACTGTCCAAGCCAAATTAAAAGGAAGGAGATTTTCAGCCTGTCAAAGATGGCGTCTCAAGAACAAGAAAAGCATCACAGGTGAGGCTGGTGCGATACCAGCTAAAGCGTTCAGCCAAAGGTGCCACAATGTTGACAGAGGCACAAATGGCTTGGGAGATGTAGCATTATACATGCAGGGCTCTCTCGCTGGCTTGCTCAGATTCTACTCTCAATTCCCTTAATGACTTTCCCTGAGTGTCTGAAGGCAAGAGGTGCCCCCTGCACTCAAACCCGTTGCCGTCTATTGGCAGCGATACGGCAAAGCCGACGCCTATCCCCTCTGCAGAGCTGGATTACTGGCCTGGGAGAGTTGGGGTGGGTCTGGTACAGCTGTTTTGAATCAGGTCCCGGATCGCTGCCGAAGGACGCCTCTTCCAGGCTTTGATAGCGGGGGGGGGGGGTCTCGAGGAAATAGTGGTTTTCCTTTATGGACTTCAGACAGATCCCTGAGATCTCCCTTATCTCTGTGTGCCATCACCAGACGGGATTTAAGCTTTCTGGGATGGTGGGGCCGGGGCCGGGCTGTACCCTGCGCTCCCCCGGGGCAGTGGCAGCGCTGATCCAGCTGGGCTCCCCTCCCTCCTGCCGCCCTCGCACAAACTCCATCGTTCCCCGCATATCCCGTTTCATCTTAATTACCGCCTATCCGCAGCACATATCAAAGGGGACAGATGTGATTTAGCCCGTGGAAGCTCAAGCCCCCCGCGGGAGATAAGCTGAGGGGTGCAAGGGCAGTCTGCTGCCCGTCGGGGAGGGCACCGGCTGCCCAGCGGCCCGGGCTTGGGCTGGTCTAGCGTGGGAATCCTCCACTGGGACGAGGACAAGTGACAGATCAGGCGGGACGAGCAGGGTAGGGTCCCGGTCCCGGTCCCCATGGGGGGGGCAGGGGAGGGGGGGAGGAAGATTTAGGGATCCCGCTCTGAGCCCCACCGCCGCAGGGCAGGCCCCCACTACAAGGACAGGGGCAGAGGGGGCTGCCCCGTCGAGCCCGCCAGCCTCCGGATCCGAGACGGGATCTCGCTAAGCCCGGCGAGGGGACGGCGAGAAAACTCCGGCACTGGGGGTACCCAAGCTCCCTCGCCGAGGAGCCCTGGCGGAGCCACCGCACGTCCAGCTCCGGCCCCAGGCAGGAAGGGAGGCGGGAGAGGCTTCACCACCTCGCGGTCCAGCACTGTCTCCGCCACAGCCGCAGCAATTGGTCCGAGGGAGAGACCCCCCCCCCCCTCCAGGGGATGTGGGATGGGGAAAGGTGTTGCCGGTACTCACTGTAGATGCTGTTTTTCTCCAGGGTGCCGTTGATCCTGCCGCTGGGGTGGATTTGGAGGTGGTACTTGGTGGCACAGTAGAGCTTCCTTCGCCGGGGCGCTCCCCCGAGGTGCTCGTAGACGCCGCCGCGGCCCCCCGCATCCCGGCACTGCCGGGGGTGGCTCGGGAGGGCTCCGGTGGCCTTCCCCGGGGCCCACGGCTCCTGCAACAAAGTCAGGAACAAGATCCAAATTATAACCATTGTGGCATGATGGCTGCAGCGCTTAGTCTGTCGGGGAGATGGAGGCTTGGAGCAAATGGCACCAGGGGTCCCATTAAAGCCGTCTTGCTAGCAGCACTCCGAAGTTGCAGAACACACACTGTTTCGAGCCGCGAAGCAGTGGCAAGATTTTATCGGCCCCGAACTGCCCCTTTTATCTGTCTCAGGTTTACTTAAATCAATAGACAACAGCAAAGGCCATCGAAGAGTCCCAGCTGTTTGTATTAGATGGAGCTGCCATCATCAACCTTCTCCTTGGGTTTCTAGCTAGACAGACGGCATGCAGGAGAGACAGAAAGGCAGGAGGAGGGAGGGGGAGACAGAGAAGAGGGCGACACCCGCTGAATTTCGGCAGAGACTGCGAGGGAAATAGCTGATCGACGGAGCATAGAAATAAAAGCTGCTTCCTGCAACAATAGCCTGAGCTGCGACCAACTGATGCAAAGCAGAGGAGGCGAAAGGTACCGCTCTCGTGTGAACTCCCAGAGCGCAGCGTGGATAAAATTACACAGCATCGCCCCGACATCCCGCAAGGAGAGGAAGGGGGGAGTTGGGGGGTGGTGTTAGCTGCTGCTTCTCCTGCCCCGAGGAGAGGCGCGGAACCTCAGCTGGGCACCGCCGCGGCAGCTGCGGTTGGGCTGGGTGGGGGGATGCTCGGAGTGAATATCTTCTACCCGCCTAGGTTTGTCCCCCGTGTTGAAAGCAGTTAGTAGTATATCAAACAGCTTACGGTTACAGATACGCATTCTTTAGGGACTTTTAGTCATTTCTAAATTAACACTAAAGCCGGAGCGTTATGATATGCGAGAAGCTGGATCATATCCTTCTCCTTAACTATGATACTCCTTAGCTGCCCCCCCCCCCCCCCCCCCCCCGCGTATCTTCACACCCCTTCCTACGAGTTCCAAAGGTGATGGAGCTGCCTAGGAATAAATAGAAAAGAAGGCAAAAGGTGCAACAGCTCCGGAATTTGCGCTGTTCCCTGTGTGTGAGGCTCAAAGACGGTTCGTTAATCAGATCTGCATCTGAAACAGTCAGTAGGAGTTTTAGGGAAGTGTTTGGGAGATAATTAGTATTAATGTGCTGAAAGGGCACATAAATACACCTTTGAAGTGAGGCACGTCAGGATTCAAGCGTTTGACCTTGATCAATCTGAGATGGGTTGTTTGTTTTTCTGGTTCCCCCCCGCCCCCCCGAATGGGTGAACTTGAAGATATAAAATATTTTTAAAGACATTTTTATGTAGATCACGAGGATTTTCTTACACAGCTTTAAAACTAAACAAGAAGCTTTTACTAGTGGGAAAATTAAGTGATACAACCTTTCCCTAACAGGAATTGCAGAAGGACGAAATGATATCGAACATTTCTTCCTACTCTAACCTGTGCTTAATATTTAGTAGTTCTCTAAGGCTAAAAGGCTTTTCATTATACAGTCGCCTGGATTAAAAGGAAGCACATAACTCTCTTCTTCCCCAATCACCCCTCTCTGCTACCACCATTCCTTCCTCCCACTTGTCCTCCCCGCAAGTTAAGCCCCAGCCTCGCACGGAGGGTTTGATCTGGGGATGATAAATGTTTGTACAATTAATTCTTGATTGCCGTGCTGCTGCAATGCCACTTCCAGGCTGTCTTGCAGTTCCAGTGCATGTAGTAAAAGTAAACCACTGGAAATTCAAATAATTAAAGCGTCGCATCTGCGGGAAAATACGAGAACAGAAACACGCTGTACCCCAATCTTGGCGTGTAGCAGGGCTCGTTGCTTGCGGTATAAATCCTTCAGTCCTTCCCAAAAGAAGCAGCCCTTCCTCCCAGGAATCCCTTGGGAATCGAGTCGTACAGACTCGGACCCTCTGTCGAGCTACAAGGCAAAAGTGGTGGCAGAAAAATAAGTGGACGTAGAAGTCTCCTGGAAGATGCTTTCATCGGAACGTCGTGAAGGCGAGATAAGACTTAATTACTGCCAGTAATTACAGCCCATCTCCTCCGACGACATATATGGTCCGAGCAGCGCCCCATGGGTGTGCAGCTGACAGTTTGGGATTTGCAGGCAATTTTTCATTAAAAACACCCCCAATGTCACAAGACCTTCTTCCCCCCCCCCCAAGAAATCCAAAAGCTTAGTGGGTGGAAGAGTAGCACATTAATGACTTCTGCTCAAATTGCTTCCATCTTGATCACATCTTCGTAATTAGCACCATCATCTACAAATCTTTCCGCCCTGGGCATCCCAACACAGGCTTCCCAGCGCTGTATATCCTGCTTCTTAGGGATGGCAACATTTAACGTCTTTGCCATTAATGGTTCCCTTTCAAAACGAAACGAATACAACCTCCACGGAAATAGCAAAGGGTTTGTAAGTAGCTTGTCTCGCTTAGTGCAATACTGAGTAGCAAGTAACCTGAAGTTGTTGTGCTCGAGCCAGACATCTCTACAATAAAACATAAGCCCACTCTTGTGTTTTCAGTTGTCTGGTGACCATTTTTTTTGCAAACAAAAAGGGTCCCTTTGATGTGGTCTCATTCTAACCGGGGTGGGGGGGGGGGGGGAATGTCAGATGTGGGCTTGCTGGAAATATTTTTAATTATGCCCCAAAGCTTCTTATAACCCCGAAGTAATAATCACAGGGAGCAGTTTGGGTCTGTTACTTCACGTGAAGGGGAAAATGCTCTCCAGTATGTAATATAGGTACAACTAGATTAGGATTGCAGCAGATAACGAGCCATTAAGTGGCTGGGAATGAGTATTTTCTGTGGAACAGCGTTTCTCCTGGGTAGAAGAGGGTATCTGGGACAGACGTTTTTATCCTTACACCGTGCACACCGTAAGCACTGAAAGCACTTGTCTTTTTCACTTACATATTCAGGTATGTGCGTCTGAGATCTTCACAGCGCAGCAATGCATAGTTCCATTTAAATATTAAGTAAATGGAAACATAAGAAAGGGAAAAACCCGCAAACCTCATAAAATCCCCCCCCCCCCCCCATGATGTATGAATTTAATCTGCAATAAACATTACACATAGCACATTGTGTGACGATTCCGCTTGAATTAGGATGGGGTTTTACTCCGTGGTCCACTGCCCCAGCACTGATTTACGACCAGCCTGTTAATCTAACAAGAAGGAAGTTGCAATTTGTAGAGCAGTAAATACCCAGGCGGTGGGAGGATCCCCCAGTAGAAAAGAAAGGCCCTCCTCCTCCAATTAAAACTCCATCCTAACCCCACTGTGGGCCGTGGGAAGGGCTCAAAGCAAACACCTCGGTGGCTATTAGGGGTCTGGTTGCAATGTGCTAATGTCATCTCCCGCTCGGGGCTCTCCTACCCGGTGCAGCCTACTCACACCTGCTGGTAGTGGGAAGAGCTTCTAAATTCATTTGATTTTATACAGCTATATCTTGTTTTCTTTGAGGCTTCCTATCAGGGCTATTCCACACCCTGTGAACTATATAATCTTGTTTAAATGACTTTCCAGACCACACAGCATCATCTCAACTGGCTCTACACGTGTGGGCAATGATGTTTAGTGTGTTGGACACTATTAACTCCCTGAAAGCAGGATAAAGGGAGAGTAGAAGAATGTTCTAGGGGGTAAATTCATGGTTTTCCAGGTTTGGGATGCTTTCTCAGGTGGAGAAAATAAGATTTAGATCCTTTCAAATGGAAAGAGACAGAAAGAATTCTCGAAAGTCAGCGTTAAACATCTATCAGGCTTATCATTTTCCCCTTTATCAACTTCATATGAAGTGTTTTTCATGTTTGCAGGTACTTTTTATGGTTCATGAACAATGTGAGATCTTCAGATTACATATTATATGCTATAGTGCACTTAAGACAATAAATTAGTTTAGAATTCTTAAGCTTCTGAATTTAGGTTAAAAGCATATGTGATTTTAACTGATACTGATATTAACATCTGCTAATTTAGCTGTTATATGTATTTTACAATATCTATTTTTTATTATCTAAAAGAAATTTGGAGAGGGGCTTTGAACGAGGGCCTGTAGGGACAGGACAAGGGGGAATGGCTTTAACCTGACAGAGGAGAAAGTTCTTCCCTGTGAGGGTGCTGAGGCGCTGGCACAGGCTGCCCAGAGAAGCTGTGGCTGCCCCATCCCTGGCAGTTTTCAAGGCCAGGTTGGACAGGGCTTGGAGCAACCTGGACCCTAGTCTAGTTGAAGGTGTCCCTGCCCATGGCAGGGGTTGGAACTGGGTGAGCTTTAAGGTTCCTTCCAAACCAAACCAGTCTGTGATTCTATGATTCTATTATACTGACATCATGGTGTGAATGGGTAAGTTCCTCCAGGAAATTCCTACTAAAATTGGAAAGAGTTTCAATTGCTGAAGACTGAGGGATTAATCCTTCATTCAAAGTCCAACAAAGTCACCAAGAACCCTTTTTTTTTTTTTTTTTTAATCCTGGTGAAGTTGGATCAGTCCAAATCTTTCTACTAGAAAAATTATTTTTCCTTTGTTCTCAGATAATCTAATGGTTTATTAGGAATAAAACGTTCGAAACAATGAATGCAGCGTGAAACAGAAATAGTCTTTTTCTCCTCTGTTGCTTACTCCTTTTCTATACAAAACCCAAAGGGGACTTTAGAAGAAATGCAATGCAACCAAAAACTTTGTGATGGTAGCATTTAGATGGCTTGTAAAGATTTGTGTCAGGCTCAACCTGTGCTACACCAGGGATATTCATGGAAACATAGAATAAACAAGGTTGGAAAAGACAAGATCAAACGTGGGCACGGACACCACTAAACCACTGCACTAAAGGCCTTGTCTAAACGGTTTGTTAGCACTTCAAGGGACGGTGACTCCACGACTGCCCCAGGCAGCCTGTTCCGATGCGTGAACACCCTCTTGGGGAAGAAATTGTTCTCAATAGCCAGTCTAAACCTTCCTTGAAGCAGCTTGTGGCAATTTCCTCTTGTCCTGTCTCTTGTTAACTGGGCACAGAGACCAGCCCCCTCCCGGTTCCATCCTCCTTTCAGGCAGCTGTAGAGAGCAGTAAGGTCCTCCCTGAGCCTTTTCTTCTCCAGACTAAAACCCCAGTTCCCTCAGCTGCTCCTCATCACACCTGTGCTCCAGGCCCTTCACCAGCTCTATTGCCCTTCTCTGGACCTGCTCCAGCACCTCAATTCAGACCAATACAGAACTGTAAAGGGCAGCCATTAAAATAACTAACCATGAGGGAGATGGGGATGTCTAAAAGAGAAGCAAGGGAGTGTAAAAACAATAGAAATGGGATGTGTTGATAACTCGGGGACCAAATTTGCACACCCATTTCACACCTTTGATATCTCAATCATCACTTGAAAGTCTGAGCATTGGGGAAAAAAATTTTCTCCATGTTACTCCTCAGCATGTGTTTTTGAAATCGGCTTCAAAGCATTTACAGAGAAGTGTGGTGCACCTGGAAGGAATATCTGGACCATATCCCTGATGGAATTGCACTCCAAGACATGCTATTCGGAGAAATCTCCTACTACTTTTAGAGTTTATCCCCCGGTTCCTTTCACAA